TAAAAACAGTGCTTCTGTTCTAAGAAATTCAAGTTAAGACAGAGTGCCTTTCACTCTCTTTAGTCATAAAGCAGATAAACGAGCAATATCCCAGCTGACATTAAAAAACCAAACCAAACCAACAAAAAAAAACCTGCAGCAGAGACAAGTGTTCATGCGAGACAGCTCAATAGTCTAAAAAAAAAAAAAAAAATAAAGGAAAAAAAAAGGAAAAAAGAAACCTCCTATATCACCACTAAAAATAACAGTACAGTCAGCAGGGGATATTAATTAAAAAAGCTGCCACATCTGTACAGTTCTTGCTTCTGCATCGGCTCTTTTTTTTTTTTTGTCGTCTGTGGGTTTGTGGTTTTTTTTTTTTAAAGTTGTTTTTAGTTTTGTTGTTGTTCTTTTTTTTCCTTTATTTTAAATAAGGTGAGGTCAGTTTAATCTTCCTCGCCGCCCCCGTACATGTCCGCCAGTTTCTTGAACCTGGGCCCCCAGTCGTTAAGGTAGTCGTAGTCCTGGTCCCCGGAGCTGGAGGAGTTGAGGGAGCTGACGGAGCCGGCGGTGGAGCCGCTGCCCTCGTAGTCGAAGACCAGGAGGGAATCGTAGGGGGGGGCCGTGGGGTCGTTGTCCGCCGCACGCAGGCCCTTGGGGGGGCAAACACAGGGCATTAATGCCTGCCACGGGGTTTTATGGCGATGGTGCTCAGGAAGGGTGGTTGGGAAAGGGTCTGGGCTGGTGGGATGCTTGGGATCCCTGCAGCAAAGCTGGAGGAGGATGGTGGAAAGGAGGATGGAGGACAAAATGAGGGTCCTGGGGCTTCCCCGTGCCTGACTGCCCCCCGGCAGACCCCTCCCGGCTGCCCTGGCAGAGACACCACTGACCCCCAGCACCTCTGTAAAAGGGGGATGGAGAGGCAGGGGAGCTCTTTCCAAGGATCCAGATCTGGAAAGCTCTCAGTTCTGGACACCAAGTCTTTTCTGGAGCTGCCTGTCAAGACTCCCAGCTTGGCCAGTGAAAAAACGAGCAGCACCTACCAACAGCCATTATTCTAATTTTGGTCAGTTTGATTCCTTTAGGGGAATTAAAAAAAAATAACCACTCCTAGCAAATTTTTGCAAATAGGAGAGACTTGGGGTGTGAAATCCTGGGCGGAGGGTTGGGGAGCACGGCTGCTCCTGTGCGCTGTGGGCAGCAGTGCAACAAGCCACGGAGAGCGAACGGCAGCCGGAGCGTGAGCGGGTCTTCACGTGCATGGATGTCTGTAAACGTGCACATGAAGGATGGGCAGGAACAAAGGAAGAAGGAATTTTAATGATGAAAATGAGAAAAAGCACAGCAGGAAATGGATGCAGTAATAGAATTAAATCGCTGTAACATTTATTTTTCTGACCCAGGAAATGGATGGTGTGTTTTGTCTTGGGGGAAATAATGCATTGATTGGTTTGTAACCGCTCAATCACTCAAAACTAAAAATGAGATAAGAAATACTAAATGGATAGATATTTGTACAAGCAGATAAAGGAGCGGCAATCTAACATAACATGAAGAAACCCCCTCTGATCTGAGATGAATCTCTGTGTTCTGCAAACTCTTTGAGGTTTTAGACCAAACAGAACTTACTAGGGGAAGGCACAGGGTAGTGAAGTAATTACAAGTCCAGGACCCACAAACGGTGCCTTTGGCTTCTGGCAAACCACGCAGCTGCCTTGCCACTGCCTCCTCCCAGGACCACACTCCTTTGTCCCTGTCCAGACAGTGTTTTACTGACAACGGCAATATTCATAGTAGGCCGAGAGCGAGCGGGATCGGGTTATACTGCCCGGATGCTGAAAGCATGGGGCTTGCGATATCCACGAGTCAGCAATCTTAGGCTTTTTCTTTGCACTCTGGCTTTTTACAGGCTCGGTGCCTTTATCAGGCCAAGTCCTGCATCCTTCGCTCACGCCTATTGTTCCCCTGGCTTTGATCAGACTCCTCATGTGAGTAATAGCATCACTCGGTCCATGCAGCCAGGAAAACGCTGCACAGCTGATGTTGGCTGGCTGCTCAAGCTTTTAGATGTGACACAGGACACCCTACGGAACATACCTCATTAATAAAGTCACCAATATCCCCTGGATGTGGGATTACTGGTCTTACAGGATACTGTGGTTCAGCACCAATAGGTCTTTCATCCACCCTCCTGACTCCAGGTGTCTTGTTCAGCACGTGATCCATGGTCTCCGGCTGCTGGAGCTGGCTTAAATCGTAATCCTGTGACAAATGGAAAGGCACAGAGTGAAACCAAGAGCTTTTCATTCAGATCACCTACTCACCCAATGTACAAACAAGTCGAGAGGTCTAATCCTATTTCAGCTGAAGTTTGATGGCAAATCTTATCCCCGGGTATGCAGCACCTCTATCTATTTAAATTACAGATGAACCTGACCCTCTGAGCAGCTCGTACAATTGACCTCCTAAGAGTGTATCTTAAAACAGAAGTTAAATCAAATATTTAAATAGTCTCTGAATATTTTACACGGTGTCTAAATCTCTGGGATAAAAAAATTGGCTTCGGTTTGCATGTGCAGAGGTACGCGCATAACTCCTCGGCGAAACACAGCGCAGCGTAGAGGCACACTGTCGCTAGACATATTATTGCAATTACATTTGCACGGAAATAAAAACATTAAAATGTGTGTTGCATTTATGCATGTAGGCCTTTCAAAGTAATTATGTTCTTCCTGCTTGTGAAAAATCCCCACAGAATAGGTTTCTATCGAGGAATGAGAACCAGGTAATATTTCATTAAAAATGTATTCGGGTAGGTAATGGTGTTTTGCTGCTCTTCCTTTGCTGTTATTTTTAACGAAACCTTTCTAAAATATTTAAGCCTGTGTAGTTGCCTGAAACCAGATACTTCAGGTAGTTTGAGTACTTATAGCAGCACTTTGTTCTACCGGTGAAACTATTCTTATGCCCAGACGGGAATGATGGAATCTCCGGGAGCAATATTTATAAATAACCTGTCAGTGACAAGAAAAAAGAAATGCTAATTACAAGGATTTTTCTGTTGAATAAGAACTTTCCAAGTTCTGGGCAAAGTCCTGTCTCGCCGCAGTGGCTCTGGCCAGGCCCACCCTCTCCCCTTCGGATGCTACCGGCACCTCTAAGGCAGGACGTGCTGCCGTGGTTTTGTCTGCTCTGTAAGACCAGCCCAGCTGCTGGCCCTGGGGCTGACTGACACCACCTGTGCACACAGCAGCCTCCGTACAGAGCCCTGAACCACACAGTCCGTTTAAACATGCAAGAATAAAGCCATGAAATGCCACAGAGTCACATCGTTCGGGTGAACGGCATGTTTGAGAGTGTCATGGGCTCTTGTGTTAGTCAGGAAAAAAAAAACCCCACAGTGACCTAAACATGAGTGACCAAACTTTGCTATTGTAGCTGAGGAAGTACATCCACAGCAGAGGGACAGCACATCCCAGGAGTGCAGGCCAGGAAAGTTTCCATGCGACATCAGCATCGGTGTCTGCAAGAAGGCGGCACGGCAGAAAAGCTGACGCATTCGGGCAGCCTGTGGCTCAGGGCTCTGCCACCAAGCAAAGCTGTGCCACGGCACGCTTCCCAGTGAAAAAGGAAATCCCCAAATGCATTTAGACATTTCTCACAAACCACGTCCAGAAATGAAAAGAAATCAAAGGCACATTAAAGACGACGAAGTGAATGCAGGGAGGTTCATGCAAGCCAAGGCCAGTGCCTGCAGCCACAGGTCTGGGGGAGGGTGGTAGCTGCTAGCTGGGTTTACTAACCTGATGGGGAATGGTAAAATACACAGTTTCAATGACCAAAATAGCAGAAATATAGTTTGAGCATGAGTGTCAGACTGCTTCACAGTCCCTCCCCAGGATGCTGGCCCAGGGGGCAGCAAAATCCACGTGGCACTGGCCTCCCTGCACCGTCCTCTTTGCACAGGAGTGTCCCAGTGACATGCCAGACATAAACCGCCTCTCACCCACGTCTGTGCCACAGTGGGGAAGCCAAGAAAGCTGGTTGGGCATGGAGAAGGGTGAAAGCAACCCTCTGCAAGTAGTTTAGTGAAAATAACGGGGTTTCTGCCTTTTTGAGAGTATAGATTGCACAGCTGCTCCCCAGCCATGACCTGCGGGCTCCTCTCACCTGGTCTTCCTCTCCACCTCCCTCTTCATCATACTTCAGAATATTGTCCCTGACGTCGTCCTCGGGGTCGATCAGGAGCTGCTTGGTATGGCGCTCCTTCTCCCGGCGCTTCATCCACACCACGAACAGCAGGACCATGGCTGGAACGGAGAAGGAGTGGGGTGAGCCTGGATCTCACACGGCACGCGGCCAGGCTGCGTGTGTCAGCGTGGTGGAGTGCCCTAAAGCCTCAGCTGCCCTCTTCTGCTGTGGGGAACCTCACTGGCTGCTAGAAAGAGGAGTAAGATTTCACCCGACTGCATTTTCTAGTTTATAAGGGAGAGATCAGTGAGAGCTGTAAATACTGTGACAGGCCTCCACTACAAACATTTCTTTAAGATCCATCATGAATGCTGATTGAGCTGATGTTTATCAGAAGTTGAACACACAATCAAAGGAAAAGCAAACAGAAAGTGTGAAAACTGACGCTTTCTGAAAATATTTGATCTAAATCCTGAATTTTCTGGATTAGATTTCCACTTTTCTTTTATTCAGGGGCATAAAACGAAGGTGGAGGACAGAGCGCTGCAGAGGTGCTGAGGAGCAAACAGGTACAGAGGACCAGCACCTGGGTACGAGCCCAGTTCCACCAGTGACGCAGCGATGCCCGTTCCTGTCACAAGCCCTGGCCGTGGCAGTCGTTTTGCTGCTCGCAGCATGCCATGCAAAACTGGTTTGGGGAGGGTGGGTAATACGGGGTTGTGTAATCCGATTTGGGCTCACTTATACTCTTTTTCGGTGAGTGAGGGAGGCTTTCTAGACTTCCAAGATCACATTAGCCAGGGCATTAGCACACGCATTTCGCCACTGACTTGCAAAGCAGATCTAAGATCATTTGAAATCCTTTCCAAGAGCAGGGCTTGCTTTGCAGAACAAGGGAGAGCCAATCTGGTAGCACACTGCCAACCTCCTCAGGCGTCAGCATCTCTGTGCCAAGCCCTGGCTGATCTCTCTTAGGACGGTAACAGAGAGAGATGAACAGTTCTTGAGTCACGAGACATTTTCCCCCACTTAAACAACTTTACCCAAAGGGAACGTTGGCTCCTTGCTCCACAACTCGATCCTTCAAAGGGTCACCCATATCCCAGAGGCTGCGTGTTCCTGTGACTTACTGCATGGAAGTTGCTCTGGGAACTTAAGTCTCCACTAACATAGAGGGACCAGACCTTGTCTTCTTCAAGAACCTGTCAATACGTTGGTTTTCATTCTCATACTCAGTAGCTGAAAATAATGCCACCAAAACTGACACTAAACCTGGGCAGCTGATGCAGTCACACCTCCCGTGTCTGCTTTCCCTCCGCTCTCCCCGCAAGCCACACACGAAGCTGTGACGGTGGCAGTCTGCCGAAGAAGGGACAGATAGATGGACAGCGGAGGTGGAAACGTGTGGCTGTGGGAACGTGTTCTTGTCACTTAGGTCAATCCTTGACTGTGCCAAAACAATCCAGCCAACACAAGTGAACCCCAGCAGGACCTAACATCCCAAACTCTCTGTGTGGGTTTTAGCTGCATAAGGAGAACAAGCACTTGCTGTTCCCCAGTCCCACACTTCCCAGGGTTTTCTTTGCCTCTTCGTGGAGCCTTGGAGTCACTTCACCAAGGGCAAGGATGGAGAAGAAACCAGACCCTGGGGACACGGGTGGGCGGCCCAGTCTGCATGGGGAGGTGCTCGGGAGGATCTGAGTTTTTTCTCCCAGCACCAAAGCGTTTATACCCAACAGGAATTCAGTGAAGTGAGCAGAAGAGGACCAGACAGCTAATTACTGCCATTGTGGGCCAATTGGCTGCCATCCCTGCCTGCCAGCTAACAGAATTGTTTTCAGATAGTTCAGCATTTCTTTAATACTTATCCTAGATCTATTCAAGAGAGAAAAAAGAAAAGGAAAGAAAATGTAACTCTTATCTGCAATACAAACCCTCAGCTATTTAGCAGACTATTGAAGTCCCTTTCTCGTTGCTCCTTTTCAAGTCTCTCACAAGATACCTGCCTAGTCCACAAAGACAATATTATAATGCTTACCAGGGTTTATCTTTTCCTTTCTTTTTTTTTTTTTTTAAATGCTATTTTTTCATGCACTTGTGGAAAAAACTGTGCCATTAACGCCTTTACAGCTACCTTGAAGAAAAAAAAAAAAAGACCTTCAAAGTGTCAATAGCGGATGTAGTGCACTCTCCTTCCTTTTATTCACTCTGCAGAATGGGAAGTGCTATTACTGCTGTTAGACCCATTTTCACTCTGCATGTAGTTTTCCTTGAAATCTATTGTCTTCACCCTTCACAATTTTTTATTGCATTGCTCTTCTAAATGTGCTATTCGTGCAGCTAATACACCAGGTATCAGGAAGGAGAGAAAACCTTTGAGCGAAGGTAAAGCCAGAAACTTCCTTCACCTGAGCAACCTCAGATCTGTCCCCTTGCTGCCTCTTCCTTTTAAAGCCATCAAACTTTGACCTGCTGACTCTAAAATGGACAAATAGCATAAAAAACCCCCACACCTGCCTTTTTCCAGGCTATTGTTCAGAGGTCACGATATAAAATGGATAGACAGGAGGCAAAACACTGGAAGGATGTAACCGGAAAACTGCTCGTCGCAAATTACATATTTCATCACTGATACAGTGCTTTGCAGCTCTTGAAGATTAAAAAAGAGTCAATTAGAATTACAATGAATGTAAAAATAAGCTTTTGTAATAAAACCCATAATTTAAAACGGGATAATGTATCTGAAAATGAAAAGAGGAATCTCTTAAATCAAATGTCCTTCAGCTGAAGTTAATTTCGGTCAATAGGATTTTCAACTTCTCAAATCATATTTTAGTGCTGGATTTACACGAAAGCAGCTAAGAGAAATCCTGTGTTTTAGTCCCTCCGGGGCTTCCAGCCCCCAGGCAGCAGCACACCTGCACGTTGGGCGTACCGAACGTGGAGGGACTGACGGACACCCCGTCTGAGCGTGCGCCACTGGGCTGCATTCACAACAAATGCCCTTGCCGAAGGGAGCAGCCTGGAGCATTGTGCTACCGGGACCCCACACCCAACAAAGGACAGAAATTGTGCATCCTGGATAGGCATAGGGATGCCTCCACCGGCTCCGATGGGCTGGACAAGGAGCGGGGACTGCACCGCCACAGACACCCTGTTTTCCTGCTCGCACTCCAGACTGAAATGGTAAATCAATTATACAACAACACAGTCCCATCGCTGGCCCAGGAGGGTGGATGTTTGCTCAGAGATGACCCATTCTCCTAATGCACCACATCACATCCACATTAGGTGACATTTGTAGCATACGTCGCTCTGTCTGCTCTCTGTTTAAACACATTGGGGGTAAATATTAAATGTAATTTAGCACCATAACTCCCATTAGCTTTAATGGGAGTCCCAGGGTTTCATCCTGTGTTTCTTGATGACTATTTACCTCATTGTTCATTTCAGCGCTCGTTTTTATCTATTCCTACTGTGCCAACTCCTGCTTGAAGTTATAATGATATCATTTTTATTTTTAAGTGTGTGCACACATGGTTATTTGTAACGCTCATGAGAGCCCGGGACTAAGTGTTGCTGGGCAAAGGGATGGCTTTGCCTCGAGCAAAGGGATGTCCAGCCCTTCTCTGCGATGCATCCCCAGCCCTCCAGTGCTCTGGACAAACTGGGGATCCTTCCTCTGAAAACGCTCACAAATCTACTGAATTCTCCAATCTGTTGTCATTTTACATGCAATGGGACTAACCACCACTCTTCTTTTCCTTGGAACAAGCAGAAAACTACAGCTATGCACTGGCTCTGCCAGGGACTAGTCAGACTCTCGTAACCAGTACGTCTGGTACTGGAAACCAGTATATCCACAGCCACCCAGGGACCTGAGAGCCACCGGGGACTCTGCCATGGGATTTTAGAATCATAGAATCATAGAATGGTTAGGGTTGGAAGGGACCTTAAAGATCATCTAGTTCCACCCCCCCTGCCATGGGCAGGGACACCTTGCACTAGACCAGGTTGCTCAAAGCCTCATCCAGTCTGGCCTTGCAGACATCCAGGGATGGGGCATCCACAGCTTCTCTGGGCAACCTGTTCCAGTGCCTCACCACCCTCTCTGTGAAGAATTTCTTCCTGATATCTAATCTAAACCTCCCTGATTTCAATTTATTTCAAATTTTCAATTTCAATTTTGGACAAGTCCTTCAACTTTTTCCTGCAAAGCGCGGAGAATCGTATCACTCTCACTACCAACAAGATGTCAGTGTAATGATGTTTGTAGGGCTAGTGGAAGCATAAGCAGCCCAGCGCAGGCAGAGTGCTGCAGCTCGTCCTGCTGACACTGCAGTAAAGGAGCCTCGAATGCAGACGTGTGAACCACCCCCGCAGCCCAAAGTTCGTGGCTCTGTCCTCTGCACAGAGCGTGCACGGCTAGTGAAAACCACCACACATTGAAATGGGACAACAGGGAGCCGGAAGGGAAGCGTGACCCCGGCCCTGGCGGTACTCACTGAGTAAAATGATGATGCAGATCAAGATGGCGATGATGGCCCCCGTGCCCAGCCCCGCCGCGGCCACCGCCCCGATGGTGGTGCAGTCGCCGTTCTCGTCACAGGGGCACACCTTCACTTTGATGACCGACGTGTTGTACAAGGGGGGGTTTCCCGAGTCCGTCACGATGATCGGCACATCATACACACCCGCTTCCAGGTACATGATTCGTAAACTAAGCTGGGCGTAATCGCCTGGAGAGACGGAGACAGACGGACAGATGACAGACACCCTGTACAGCCACACTGGTACAGGCAGGGCTCCTCTGCCAGTGCGGGCTTCCGAGTCCTGAAGAAGAGCTCACCAACAACATACCCGGACAGGGCAGCTTCAGACTGCTGCCCTGACAGTTTGGTCAATCACCAGCCTGTGCTTTGCAAAACGCTGTGTTTTCCCTGCTGCACTAACCTACCTTGATGCCGTGTACAAATCCAGTTGCACGCGTTTAAAATGGCATGAAATGCAAATACTAAAGCATGGATGATGCTCCCTGGGTCTGGGCTGTCCCTGGCCACTGTGCAGGCTCTCTGCTCTCCCATCTCAGGATTTTTGGGAAGCCCATCGCCCGTTGATGCCACGCTCAGCCATGTAATCCTTCAAGTGTTCCCTCCCACGGTGAGACAAGAGCTGTGGGACTGAGCCCCGAGCTGCGAGAGCTCAAGCGTTACCCCTGGCCTGGCAGAGGGTGCCAGACCTCAGCGAGAGGGGCCAGCTCTGAAGCCAAAACCAGCTCATGACTCCATGATATTTTCCATCCTCTGCTGAAACTACCAATAAGAGGAGCAATTAGGGCCATTTGTGGTTGCATGCTGCAATATAAAAATCTTCCACATACTGGTAATCTTCACACTTACCTAGCCCTCCTGGTTCCATGGTAAATTAAAAGGCTGCCTTTATGCAATTATGGTCAGAGAAATGAACATTGATCCTGACTGTGGCTTATGACAATTACACTGGAACATAAGGAAGACTGATAATAGCTTTTTTCCCCTTGGCCATTATGGATGATTTATACTTTGTTCACTACTGATAACTGTTCATAATTATGAACTGCATTAAAAAAAGCCAAGTGCCAAGGCTCTTAGAGTTATGCTGCAGGTCTGATACAAATCATTTCTGATTAACTATCTTGTCTATAATGTCAGCTATAATGTGCTTTAAAAAAATAAAAATCAGATCAAAAAGTAGGAAAGTTTGGAAGTTTGAAACCGCACGTGGCCTCATTAGTGAATCAGAGCCCAAATGTCCTCGGGATTGCCTGCCCCATTTACCATTCAGCCGTGTTATGGTCCAGTTCTTCCTCACCGCAGATGGCACACTTGGCAGCTCGAAGACAAAGGGCCCAACGTTTGGATCGATGTCAGCATCCGCGGCTGTTATGTTGATGACATTCAGGTTTGGCTTTTCACAGATCTGTGCCTCCTTTGGCAGCAGCTCAGGAGCATTATCGTTGATGTCGATTAGGTAGATCTGCAAAGTGCCAGTGCCGCTTGCGGGGGGTATACCTGAACGGGAGAGGCAGAGCCAAACACGGACCCATGACCATCACGTGAGAAGCAGTGGGAATGACAACACGGTGGACCAGCCCCCTCTCTGCCTTCCAATTTCAATAAACCAGGATTTTCACCCTCCCTCCTTGGACCTTATTAGGGACATACTGCACTTTCATGGTCCCTTGCTTTAAGAGGTAGTATTAAAACTTCCCTGTGACTCCTAACGTTGCTGTTTGTCGCTCCTGCAGAACATGGAGGTTGAGTTCTGCAGATCTGTAGCCTACAGCAATGTCCTTAGTCAAACTAAAAACACAAGGAGCTGATGCCAAGCTGCTAGTGCAAATTTTGGTAATGGCTGCTTTGAAGGGGAAAACCATTAGAGGGAAAAAACCCCTAAATAGTGTAATATGTTGGTCAGCACTTACTGTAACACGTGATAGCCAGTTTTTAGGTTTACAGGCTATTACACTGCTTCAGAGAAAGCCCAGTTCTCCAGCCCATCCCACAGTCAGCCCTAGCTCTAGTGGTGAAAGGTCCTTGCTCAAAGCCAAACACGTTGGGTGATGCTATTAGCCCACGGCGGCAGCAGTATGTCCCAATGTACAGTTCTTCATCCCCTCTGCATTTGTCCCAACCGGCAAGGACGCCACAGCACAGCAGTTTTGCTCCTCCAGCCCCTTACTGATGAAGAGCCACATCTGTCTGACTAATGACCACTTATACAAAGTAACACCTGACCTGGAAAGAGAGAACAGCCTTCCCAGAAACAGCTCAGTGTTTTTAATTTCTCTCCCCACAGACACAACTGGCAGCTCCGTGTTGGCCTGCCCACTGCCTCCCTTCTCAGGCAGCGTTGCTTCAGCAACTCTTTTCTAAGTTTGTATTTTCAGTCCTGGCACTTCCTCTTGGTGCTGGATATGAAGCTACACAAAACACTTCCCCAACACTGCTTCAGCTTCCACACACTTCCCTTTCTCCATTCCCATCTCATTTCTGTTCCATTTTTCAAGGGAGCCTTGCAAACTCAGATGGAGCCCTGAAAAATCTTCTTTCATGGTTCCTACATAAGCTCTTCAATCATTGATCTCATCCTTTCATCTAGTAAGCATGGGGTAGGTCTCCCTCTAAAACAATGTCTTTGATCAGCCTTGAAAGTTTCTGGAGAGACAGACAGCCCATCAGGATACTGGGGCTGAACATGAAAACTAACTTTTGGGACCAAGCAAAGTGATTTCACTGTTTTCACGTTACCCAGAATATCTTTTGGGATGAACGCAAGGCTCACGCTCTACCCTCAGAGACAGGCTGAATGCAAACTAGCAGTCTGAGAGGCACTAACTGGCTTGTGGCTGAACTAACCTGCAATTGCATACATAAAAAATGTACAGATGCAGTTTTGTGTGGGTACTGTGTATTGTTGGGCTTCGGTTCACAGTTCTGGTTCTTTCTGCTCCTGAGTGCAGTCCTGGGGCAGTCTCAGGTGAAATGAAAAGTAATCCATTTTTTAAATGTCCAAGTATTTCAAACCATGGAACATTTCAAATTATTTTGTCTCTTATGTGGAGAGAGTAAGGATGTGGCTAGAGCAGGTACTGGTGTACCTCAAAGGACCCTGGGACTTTCTGCTCAAAAGATGAGGACTACCCTAGCACCACTGACTCCAGTGGAGACGTTGATCTGCTCCCTGAAATTAAGACTGAAACAGTAAAGAGAGTATTTTAAAAGAAAAAGGCATATATGACTGCTACACCTACATTTAACCTGTATTCCCCATCACTGACTTTTTCCCAGTGCCAGTGCCAGCACTCCTGGAGCAAGGTACAACCCAACAGCCCCTCACGTTCAGCTGCACGCAGCAGTCACTCCCATCCTGCTTGTGCAGAAAGAAATTTCTAAGGAACTTGGGCCACTGTCCTGACAAATGACGGCAGAAATGCATGAAACTGCTCTGTGACTCAGTGGCATCTTCTTGTCCTTGTGTGCCTGTGATAAAAACAGGAACCTGCATGCAGAGGCCCTAGTGCAGCCTGGTTTCCCCTGGGATTGGGCCCCAAAGGTGAGTTCCCATGGGGTGCTCCGATATGAAGGAAGGGGCAGGACCCTGTTTCCCTCAGTTACACAGTCTCTCTCCCCTGTTCAGCTCTCTGTTTTATGAAATCTGCTGGAACATGATGTATTTGTGTTCTTGGCTTCCCTGCAAGCCTGTCTGTAACTGGCTGAAGGGTTCAAACGCTGCCAGGGTCCACACCTGTGGAGATACAGTGTGATCCAAGAGCCTCTCTATCCTGGGAAACCAGGCTAAAATTAGGCTGTTGATTAGAATTTCCCTTTTTTTCTCCTTACAGTGCACCCAAGACTTTTCTTACAGTGAATGTCCCTGCACTGTAGCCCAGGGAGAGAGAGAGAGAGAGAGCACGTCCCAGGAGGGTTTGGCTAAACTGCTTCTTTATCATACACTGAAACCAGCAAAAAAACTTAAGGAACCAAGATGTTGCTCCTTCTTCGAGAAAGAAAGAAAAATCCCCACCAAAAACCCCAACCCTAAGCCTTTCTTTGATGAGTATGTGATGCTGGAGAACCTGGAACTAGAGAGAAATGTGAGAAGAGTCTGTTAGCCTAGATGAAAATTTAGCTGTTATCCTAAGCACTCTAGACAGAATTTTAAATAAGGTGTTGCTTTATGTGCATTTTAATGGCTGCAATATACCAGTGATAGATTAATTTTTCAGAATAAAGAGATTTATCTAGGTCCTTACTTTCTGAGCTGCTGAATGATGGATGTGCAGGTGCTGCCCACCAGCAGCACCAGCACTGAAGCCAAGGAGAGGGGTTAACTCCAAATCATGTTGTACTAAGTGCCCGGGATTTGCAAGGTCAGATGGTGAGGGTTCAAGCCCTACCACTGCTTTTATGAGTAGGCTCAGCCACCTTACTTATTTTGCCCTGGGGGGGTCAAAACACTGCCAGATACTCTTGGGATTATTTTGGATTTCACTGTCCTGTCTGTCTTCACTGAGGGAAAGCTTGGGATGGGGCGGTGGGACCACTGATGGCACAAAGAAGGGGCAAAATTTTCTTCCTGGAACTGCTACCCAGCATGGAAACTGTTGCATGAGCTTGCCTTGTCTATGTGACCCAGAATGAGATGACTGAAGTGACACCCGAAACCCCAGAGGAAGCAAGTTTTCATTAGCCCTGCAAGCATCTCTGCTCACAATGGACGTGGCACCCTTCAGCCTGAGGGATGACAAGAGCTAACACAGAAACTGTCCTGGAAGCACCTATACAGTGTATGCAATATACTTAGGTGCTCGCAGCCAAGCCTAGACTTGACTTTGATGCTGAATCCTGGCCCTGGTTGGATGCGAGTGCTCAGCACCCTGCAGGGGAAGGCGAGGGTGGAAGAGGGGAGGAAGGCCCTCTCCTTGCCCAGGGAACTTCCCGAGCCCTCCACAGAGCCTCTTCCACCTGGGGGAACTGAAGAATGAAATAACAGTATGGCCACAACTAGGTATGGTTAGTAAAAAAGTCGTTCTAATCAGAATCAGGAAGAGAAGACCAGGGCAGCAGCAATGGATCGCTTGCCCTCGAGCGAGGCCGGCGCTGAGGTTCACAGTGCTAATTTGACCAAAAGCTCTGTGTGATCTTTAATGAGAAGAGAAAGCCTTAACAGGACTTCTCCGCGAGAAGATCTGTACTGGCCTCAGAGACTTTGATACTCAAGCACACCAGCATCCAGACGCTCTGATGGTGGCTGCCCATTTCAGAAATGGGAGCGGACGGAGAGAGATTAGCTCTGATGACAGAGAGAGAGACACCTTTCATGAAAGCCACAGCAGTTCAACGGGCTGGTTTACTTTTAACACCCTCCTGCCATCCCCTACAATTATTCTGGTCCCCTGACGGAAGGCTTCCCGAACGCTCTGATCAGCGCCTCTGGGACGATTACCAGGACTGGTGTGTTCCGCAGCCCTTGGAGAACACATCCCTTTGATATTTTTTTTAAGTTCAGGCTACACCGCTACACTGAACTCCCCAAATCGATTTTCCATTTGCCCTCCCTTTCCCTTAATAACACTCTCCGTATACTGTGCACATTTAATTTACTCCAGCAATTTCCCGTCCCACTTTCACATTTTTGACCATAAAAACCTGGGAAAAAGATAACTTATACTGACAACTCTGTCAGGGCATCATTTCTCTTAATGCATCACATTAGAGTCTTATTGAAGCATGAACAATGTGAAGCCTGGGCTCACCGTTGTCAGCCGCCAAGAATGTGGCCTCGTAGACATTATTCTTAATGTAGTCTGACTCTCGATCAAGGACAGCAGCAGTAGTGATCTGACCATTTGTGGCATTAATGTTCAGCCAGTTTGCAGGATCTGACAGCTTAGAGTATCTACAGAGAAAGGAAATAAATACATGGCAGTCTTTTCACTGACATATCCTTAATATTGCTTGAAATAAGGTTTTTCTGGACTCCTGACCCATGATTCAAAGGACCTTTGGATAACTGGTTTTGTTGACAAACAAAACGCTAATTGAATATCTGGTTTATGACCTCTACAATTATTCAATTTTACTATTTCTTTCATTTTAAAGGTTTTTCTTTCCACTAAGTGCCACTTACATGCCAGCTTCCTGCTGCTGGGAGTGGATGTAGCCTGAAGCCTCTGCAGCTAAGAAATGGGGGTCTGCAATGACCACTGCATTTGTACGCCTGAATTAGAGGATGGATTCCTGCTCTCTCCTCTTAAAGTTGCCTTTGCTCCAATAGCTCTTGCTCCAAGGCCATGGATATTCCTGCTTTTAGCCCATCACTAATAAATAACAGTTTGGGAAATACCACATTGGAAGAATGGCTGTTTCCGGGCCACCCTTTCGGTAAGATGATACTATGCATGTGGGAGGTTGGAAGAGAGCAGCGACAAGGAGGTCCCCTTGGCAGCCCCCAGCGTACCCTGGGCTGGAATTACCCAGGGGCAGATCAGCCTCACTCCTGTTCAGTCAACTCACAGCCCAAGTCTGTTCATGTCCTGCGCAGCCAGCTATCAACATGGCTTGTCCTGGGCAAACTTTATTCATCTTCTCCAGATCAACAGGTTCTGTTCACCTTTCTCACTTGTTTTCTTGGGTTTATGTTATTCATTGGTTTTGATTTCTGTCTCTCAGTTTGAGTTGAGATGGACCCTTATTACCTAAACTGGAAGCGAATACATGGGCAAACTATAAATTACTGAAATAAGCAAAAAAAAAAGATAAGCATATTTCATGGGTAACTCAGACCTGCTGATAGTTTCATATCAATTTTTTGTATTTAGCTACACAGGCAGGAGAATTTCCTGCTTCTGTTGAATATCCCTTTCCAGAAATGGACTGTTTGAAGCTGAAACTCCAAGTGAAACTCGAGCTGCGGGAATCCATGTGAGCAGGAAAGCAACAAAACTGCTGCACAAGCCTCTGCCAAAGGAAAGAATTACATTTCATGGAGCTGGACTCTTTGGGGTGTTTTCATTTCTTTTTATTATCACTGCTGTGAGTCTCCTGCCCTTTCTCTGCTAAATGACCAGGGGTCTGGTTTCAGAGCTGGCTTTGTGAATGCATCTGTGGCTAATGAGGATAACTTGAGGTGTGACACTGGCCACACCAAGCTGTGCCTTACTGGAGATGTTCCTGCTTCCTTATCTTCCATTTGTAAAAACTCTATTTCTTCAAAGACTATTCAGAGAGAGATGGAAAACTGCATGCAAGGCACTAGCAGCTGGATCAGCTCTCTGTGAAGTGCTCGTAGGCTCAGGTTTCTGGGTGTCTTTTTTCCTAATTCACCAATGCCAACTGTGAAGGAAAATTCAAAACATCCTTTGCACAGCTCACAAGGACAGGACCCCAACAGCTTCTTCCAAAGCCTTGGCACTGGGCTGTCCTGGTGAAAAGGGGTAAGAGAGACTGTACATGGGTTTGGAAACCAAGTGCTCATGGATACACAAAGTGTGTGTCCTGGGAGCCCTAGGAAAAAACAAATAATTTCCTGCTCATATTCATAGAAAGTCTTACAAAACCCTGCACACGCACTGTGCAATCACAGGAATGGCTCAGCAGAGCCGGTCCTTCTCCCAGGAACGGCAGCGGCTCGTTTGAATTACAGACCATCCACCTCTGGGTTAGAGGGAGTATTCAATCAGAAATGAGCTGTTCTCTCCTCTGAAAACCAGCCTGGCTACAGACGTCAGGGAAATAAAGACCCTTCAAAGGCCAATATTTCAAAAAGAATGTAAGAAAAACTGTCTTGTTAGTTAGGACGGTCTCTCTCCTCAAAAGTCGCAATACCTCTCTAAAGACAACAAGATGAGGCAGTGAATAAACTATCATTTTCTAGACCAGACAGCTCTGTGCCAGGTGAAATATTTCAAACCCTTCCTGACACAGAATGTCACAATGGATGCAAGTTTCAGTGGCCTTGACCACGGTCACATCGTACACTTGCATTTCGACAAAAATACAGACTGGGAGTAAAAAAGAAACAAACTTCTGTGGATACAGAAGTATCTGAGAGCAGGGAATGCACTTTCTGACTGCACAGACGGAGACTGAAACACTTGTGAAAGGTGTGACAAGGACTCCCAGTTTCACACACACACTTCTGTGGCAATGTATTTCCTGGTGGGAATGCTTTTGAGTAAGGTCCTGGACTGTCCTGGCAGTCCCCAGCCTGCCACCATGGGAAAAAACACAGCCAGTGACATGATCCCGGTCGCAGCATGGACTAAATCCAATCTTAAAACTGCTAAGACCAAGTATCTGGCTTTTAGAAGGCTAAAATGTTGTCAGCTGAATCCCATTCACAGCAAAACCAGTTAATAGGGAGGTTAGTTTGGCAGTTGGACTGAATGGAAAGGGAGGGTCAGGACAAATCTGGCTGCCTGCAGAGCAGGGAAGGGTGCTTTATATGGACTGGCATCAGTCAGATAAAGACGCTGTGCCAATGGTATGTGCAGGGGTGTTTGACTGCTCAGGCACTATTTAACCATATGACATCTTGAAGGCCTGTTCCCAGCTGTTTGTAACCACGCAAGCCTTGCTCTGACCGGGCTGACAGCTCCCCCCGCACTCTGCTTATTAAGCCAGGTTGAACCCAAATCCCCTGGAAGCAACATAAGACAGGATTAAATATTCCACTCGTTCCCTTTGGACATCTAGCCCTAGCTCTTTCTGTGCCTCAGTTTCCTCCCTGTAAAACAGAAATTACAAAGTTGCCTTTTTTAAAATCTTTTGCATTTACAAAGTGCACGGACAACATCAGTTGAAGCATCCTCGACAAGGCAGAGACAAAGCATTTCCTACAGTCCAGCCCTGACCTTGGCAACAACGCAGGGACCTCTTGCTATTGACTGCTTCCATCTGAAGCTGAAAAGTGCCCCTCTGCAAGCCAGTAATGTGGGATCCAACTCTGCCTGCCCTCCCAGACCCAGCTGCTCGGAGCCTGGCTTACCTGGGGGGAGGAGGATCGCAACTTCACGAGCCCCTGGGGTACTCTGCAAGCTCTCCACTGAGGGTGCAAGTAACTGCCAAGCATTTTACTCACACCGCGTCAGTTAGTCTGTGAATAAGCTTTCAGCTGCTTTGCTCCCCAAACTTCTGCAGCTGAGATCCCCTCCCTGTACAGGAGCTCACTTGGGTGCCCGGTCTCCCACCTTACTGCCTGCTGCATGAAGCGATCGGGATCCACTGCTGAAAACGTCGTCAGGACTGTCCCCGTAGGCACCCCTTCCTCCAGCCTGATCAGCTTGTGGTTCGTGGGGAAATACGGTGCTTCGTTGACATCCGTGACTGAAATGGTGACTCCTGCTGTTGACTGGAAAGACATCTGGATGCCACTGGCCAGGGGAGCTTGGTTTGATACCATCACTGTCAGCATGAAAGCTCTGTTCATCTCGTAATCGACTGCCTAAAACAAACAAACAAGCAAGAATAGAGCCAAGCAGAGAATAAATTCTACCTTCTGGCTGAAAGCTGCAAGATTTAGAAGGTAGATGATATCAAAGTCATTGCCTCATCTCGTTCCCTCCTGAGCTCAGTTCTTTTGAAGGTGTAAAACCAGAGCAGCTTCAAACCATTGGAGGATTTGGCCTTCCGGTATTTGGAGAGTCAAACAGTTAAAAAAAGCCCACAAAGTAAAAATTGCACACCATAGGGAGGACTTACCCTGTGTTTTGTTCCAGTGCTAAGTGGTTTCCAACAAAGCAGCTGCCTGTGTTAGGTGAGCACTGAATGAGCAAATCCACCATGGGCTGCTCTAAGTGCAACAGGTAGAGCCTGTTAAGAGGGACTGGACAGGTACTTAACAGTGCTAATGGCATTGAAAGCTGCTGACTAAGTAGCTAGGACAGTCTGTGTGGACTCATGAGCCTGAAGTGCTCTTCATTTTTCCCTCTTAAGTGAGTTAGGAGCAACGCTTGGCCCTGGTAATCAGGCGGTCCTTCCAGGGGGACCTCATCCTCCCGCAGAGCACCCCGTGATGCCCGGAGGTTGCCTGCACGCTCCCACAGACGCATTATGCTGTTGGGTGGCCACTGATCTCTCTTCAACAAGCACATAAAGACGTTGTGTCTTAGGAGCCAGAGGAGTGAAAAGCCTTTGCTGGCACAACCAATTGAACCGCAGTATAATAATAATTTCTAAACCATCCCACTAATTATTATGAGGGAAGTCGCTAATCATCTGCCAGGGAGGCTTGAATTATGCAGGATCACACCTCTGCTTGTTAAAAAATGCTTTGCTGTAATTTATGAATTTAGAAGCGTAACCATTCTCCCTAACACCTTCTCCCGCACTGAGTCTGCAAAGCATACCCTCACGGTGTAAGAAGCCACAGTTACGTTGACTTCGGTAGAGCTGTGCTGATTTACATCAGCAAGATCTGGCTTCCCTGTTCTGTTTAAAACCCAGTATTGTCAAGAGAGAAATCAAATCATAGGAGGCTACACGAGAGAAACAAATTTCGGGGGCAAAAGGTAAAACAGTGGAATCTCAATTCGATTGAAGTGCAAATGTTCCCATTGCTAAATAGTTTCCTGGCAGGCAGGGCCAACATTTAATAAATAAAAGGAAGCATAAAGATTCCCAGTACACCCACCAGCACTGACTCACGGACTTGTACCGCATTCAGAAAAGACTCGTGGTAGACGTTCCCATTTAAACACTGTCCAAGGCCTTCAAACAATCTGACTAGGGTATTGCCTCAATTTCTTTCACACTAATTTATATTCCCCCAGTCGTCTTTTTTTTTTTGGCCTGCTGGCCTGTTTGCTGACTTTGCTCACAGCCAGACTGCACCTTCCTCCCCGCAGGGGCTCAGATGGAGCTGAGGGGATGGTTTGAGCAGCCCCAGTGGGGGCTGATGTGGGAAACCACGGGGCTCCCTGCCTGTTGATGCACAGGCCACACTGACCACACACATGTATCTGCTGGGATGTGGCCTGATGCAATGGAGTGGGGTTTTTTCCCCCCAAAATATAAGTTTTTTACCTCTCTGCTGGGAGCAACAAAGCAGGGCTGGACCAGGATCATCCAATAATGCCCACCTCACAGACTGTCCTGGGGACATCAGTCCCACGTGCAGGCCCACAGTGACACAGCATCCACTGCGCTTCAGTCTTCAAGAGACACCCTGCCTGCCTCTTCTGCGCTCGTCTGAGTTCCATTTCACATGTTTTGTTGAAAAGGAAAGTTGAAATGAAGAGCCAGTGCCTTCATGGCAGTGTTTGTGCTGTTGTCCCCTGCGGGACAGGAGCCTCTTGCAGCCGGACACAGTCCAGCCCCAAGCAGAACTTTCACACTGTAATAAGCGATTTCTACCAGGATGGTTCATACTTCTGCTCCCTAAAACTGCCTCCCTAGGAGGATAACGGTGCACAGAGTACACGGCGTTCTTCCCACTACACTAACCCCTTCCACCTCCACGCATCTCCCTGAAAACGTTGCATGCTGGTCAGGCCAACAGCAGGAGCAAAAGCACACGGAGCTGCTACATCCAGGACAAGGAGGTGCTGGACTGCTGTCTACTTTTTAACTTCATGGCCAAGAAGAAAATTAGAAAGTAGCACCTCTGCAGATACCCCTTGTTGGATGTTGAGTGTCTGATCTGGCACAAACAGCTCTGAAGCTCCCCCCTGGAGATGCTGGACATCCTCCTCCCTCACTAGCTGCTTCAGCCTGGCTGCAGCAGAGTGAAGCCGAGGGCTTGCCATGTGTCCTCCTGTTCTCAAGGTACTTTTAACTGAAGAGAATAAATTTGCCTTATGCTACTGTTGAGGCAAATAATAACGGAAGCTTTGGAAGCATCTCCATTATAAATTCACAGCTCTGATCCATGCAGAGTTTATAATAACATTTTACTTAGCCGGCTGCCACAGGGCAGTCACTGCTGCTCTTGGAGCTCGTCTCCAGACTCTGCGGTGCCTCATCTGAGTGGGAAGTTTCTCTCTCCCCTTGATCAAGGCTTTCTTTGAAGATTAGGGTCTTGCACAGTTGTGGAAATGGTTTGGAAAGGCATGAACAGCGAAAGGCAATGTTACACTTCTGGTGATTGGACTGGAGCTGCAGGTGGGGCTTCGCTGAGAGCGGCTGCACAATGGCCCCCATGAGCTCCAAAGGGCTTCTTGGTCTGGAAGCTTTTCTGGCCCCCAAATTGCTGGGGGAGGGGTGGGATTCTTCACAGAACACCCTTCTCTGCGCTGTTGCTGTGACTGTTGTAGCTCAGATGCTTGCAGCAGTGGGGAGTGATGTGTAAGCAGCTTCAAAGAGCCACATGAAAATCAGCCATGTAGGGTCTGTAAATAAAAGGTTTGTAGTCTGACTTAATTTTTTACCTGTGTTTTCAATCTACATCAGGGATCAAACCAGCAAGAGACTGCTCCCACACACAAGGAACAAGCTCCGACCGGCCACCCAGTCTGATGTGCATACACTCCCCAAATCTTTAAACATATTCACTTATTAACAAAGAACAAAATATTTCAAAGAAGAAGGTGTAATCCTAAGAGTCTTCCCGTCTTCACCATGAAAATTTAATCACAAGCAATTTCACTCATACTCCTTGCTGAAAATACACCAAGAAGCCTCCCGGCTTGCTAAGGGTAAGGAACTCGGGGTGCGCAGGAGGATCAGGTGAGGTTATACAGTGAAGACATCCAATGCAGTCTCAAGCTTTGAGCTCAGCGTGACAAGATGGGATTTTCATGTGGTTCTTTGCATTGTGATCACTGTGGGTTACACAGCAGTGGAAAGTCAACACCAGCATCAGTGGTGTCCTGACAAATCTGCCCGGCTTTTTGCCTGCCAGTTCTGAAGAAAGGAGGGTTCATTATGCACCAGTCCTTGTGTAGCAGTGATGATCATGTAAATCCCCTGTTGTTCACTTTGATGTGCCTTTAAACTGCAGTTGTGACACTTTACTAGATTAAGAATGAGGGGTCCTCCCTGGCTCACAACGTTGGCGTTTCAATTTCAGACTGGCTGCTGATGTCAACGGAAATTAAATTGTTGCGTTTAATGTGCCAGTTTTGGTGAGTATTTTCTGTTTAAGCACAAAAATATATACTTATAATAACGTGTATATTTACCTATATATATGCATCCATATACACATATCTAGAGCTACTACCAGGCTTGAAGAGGTTTTGTAACGTCGCACCAGATAAGGTTGTCAAGCGTCGTTACAGAGCATTACCGAGTGATAAATCAAAGTGCCCTGCTGAAATACCATCTAGCAGGTAAGATGATGTCTCCCTTAGAGTTTCAGCAAAGCGGCATCTGCAGACACACACGCGTAGCCTAAGGGTCAGAGAACAGGACAAGCTCACACGTTCCTACCAGCTTAACCTCACTGGCATTTCACTGATGTCATTTTTCCTAATACCCAGAGCGTACGTATTAGGAATGACTGCAACTCATTAGCTACAAGGGAGCGGGGCTCTTTTTTTCAACATGGAGCTATTCTTAAATCACGATGCTCTTTAAACATTAGTGTTTCATCCTAAATTGCTGATTAAAACTTTCTGTTGGGGAAGGCCAGACTTATCAAACGATGCAGGCTTTGTCCACCTCAGCATGTATTATCCTTCTCGGGTGCAGCGCACCGTGTGTGTTGTGCGAGCTCCTACGGATCACAGGAGCCTGTTTGTGATGCCTCCACATTTCTGGTAGTCAGAGGGAGCACCCATAGCCATCTTATCTGGGAAGAGATTCAGTGGACGCCGAATGGATCCGGTTATGTTCTGACTGTATGTAATGACTGCAGAAACATTCCCTGCCTGGGCTCCTGGCCTCAGTCACCGAATGGGAAGTGAACGCTCAAATGAAAACAAAATCATGTTTTTTGAAGGCAAAGCAGGAAACCGAATTTGATACTTGCTGCAGATACCTTGAGCGTTCCAGCTCGCTTAACGCTGCAGGCAATGGATGGAGGAAAGAAGGGCTGGTGGATATTTAGTCTTATCTCTCAGAGCCTTTGGACAAGCTCCTCTGCTGATCTAACCCGGGGGGTGCCTTTCACTGGAGCGCAGCTATTCTGAGCTGAGGGTCTGGCCCACATGGCGTGTTTATCGCTTCATACCAGGAAAAGGAAAATTTCTCCAACTTTTTTCTGCCAAGCAACTCAATCAGAGAAAAATCTCTCCTTTCCTGCTGTTACCAGGAAATTCACTCCTCCCGAAATCTCTCCTGCGCTCCCTGCTTTCACAGAGGATCACTTGACTGATCCCCTGCAGTGAAACACTACTCCTGATTCACAGCTCACGGGGAGACTTCTGGCTCCAAAAGGAGAAGGTGCAGCCTCCTCCCAGGCCTGCCAGGGCTGCACAGCCCCGGCACGTTCCCTCTGACAGTGCTCAAAAAACTAAGGAGGAGCAGGGCGTGGAGGTCAGGTTCAGACGCTGCGAGGGGCCTTCAGCATCTGAGCGTTTATGACAGTTTAGGGTGGGCTGGGCTGAGCTGGGAAGCCAGAACCAGGGGCGTACGGTTGAAGGAAAAGTATCTGCACAGAGTGATGGGAAACTACAGGTTGAGCCCTCATATTCCCAGGCAGAGAAGGCATGAAATAACTGCAGACTTCTGGCAGTCCTTTAGCTAGCTGAAAGGATGACAAGCATGGATTTGCTTTGGCTTTGCCCTTACCTTCACGACAGTTACCATGCCTTCGTTGGTGACAGGGTCTGTCCGGATGGTGAAGTGGCCAGAGGGGTCCCCGCTGATAATGCGGTAGATGGCATTCCAGTTGGGGGAGTGAGGCTGGTCCCGGTCCATCACCGTCAGATTTGCCACCACAACCTCCACTCTGTTCTCAGGAACTTCTCCTGAATACTGCAAATAAAAGACAGGAGCGGTCATGGTGGGAGCTTTCTGTGGGTCCTCATGGCTACCTCCCCTCTCCCTTCCATCAGCACACCACCTGGCAAATCAGTCCCATGAAGACGACCACAGGGTTGTACGTTATGTGCAACACATCTCTTTCTCACTTCTGGTTTCCCTATTTTTGGCTTTGACTCTTTTTCCAAACCTTCCAAAGCCTAGTCTCACCTCTCAACCCAACAGAGAATCATAGAATCACAGAATGGTTTGGGTTGGAAGGGACCTTAAAGATCATAGAGTTCCAACCCCCCTGCCATGGGCAGGGACACCTTCCACTAGACCAGGTTGCTCCAAGCCTCATCCAGCCTGGCCTTGGACACTTCCAGGAATGGGGCATCCACAGCTTCTCTGGGCAACCTGTCCCAGTGCCTCCCCCCCCTCTCTGGGAAGAACTTTTTCCTGATATCCAATGTAAATCTCCCCACTTTCAATTTGTACCCGTTACCCCTTGTCCTGTCACCCAGCCACTGCCTGAGCTTCAGCAAATTCTCGAAGTAAACGAACAAAAAATGTTCTTGATATTGTTGTTCAGTTACAGCCATCAGAGAGTTAACTGTCAAGAGACAGTAAAAATGGCAGACTAAAATGTGCGTTTTTTTAGGATGAATATGTCCCTTTAACCTGAGGTATTTTGCCTCACTCAGATTTCAGTGATGGCATTTTATTGCTTCTTCAGTGATTTTACTTCATTTTCTTTCTTTCTTGCCCTCGATTTGATTTTGTCTCATTATTTAAAGTGTTTCTTGTGATTTCGCCACAGCCTTTCCTGGTGCTTAATTCTCTCATTTAGCACTGATTTTCATGGAGCGTGTCCAGTTCAGACATATCCTGATGCATTAGCTGCATTCTTTTCTGTTTTCCAGTCCTTGATTTATCATACAGCTGATCAGGGATCCTGGCCTGTGAATATTTCCAGTGTTTGGGGCTCAAAAGCTGCCAGTAAGACACATTCCCACATTTTCAACTGCCCTCATCTCTCAGCCTCGCCTATTAGCGGCACTTGCAAATCAACACTCTGATTGACATATGGCAAATTAAACACTGGGGAAACAATGGGAGCGGCTGGCTCTGAGTCTGCAACTGATATCCTGGCCGCAAACTACAGGACCAGAGCACTTCTGAAAATCTGGCCTTTGGTGTGCACAAATGCCAGGTTATGTAAATGATAATAAATCATCCCTTTGTTAGCACAAGAGTCCCCTTCCACTCCTAACCCATACCCATCCATTGGAGTCTTCCAGTTATATTGAGTATATGTGATTCTACCACTGACAGCAAAAATATTCAATCTGCCTTATGTTAATGTAAATTCAAATTTGCCCTTTAGTGGCATCCTGAATGGCATTTTGCCCTCCTTTCTGTTATGCACCTGTCCTAAACAAGTTTTCATTAGTGAATGCAGATGGCATCTCTTCCCAGCCATGCCGAGTGGTGGGGAAGAACAGTAGGAAGCTGCAGATAATTCTAGTTCTAGTACACGCCACAGCTCTCCTTTTCTCTTCATTTCCCATGATTTCACTCGTTCTTTACCCATTTTCTTGCCTGATTTGGAATCTCTGCGGCACACAGCTTAAGCAGGGGAAATATCATATGGAAATTTATCAAAAGCCTCTTGCAAAATCCATTAGATTATGTCACATGTACACTCCTATTATCAACCTTGTCTGAAGCCTGCTCAAAAGAACTCAAGGAGATTAGTTAAGCAGGATCGTCTCTTGGTAAATCCACACTGGTTATTGCCCATTACATTAAATCAATGTTGTATGCACGCCAGCAATGACAAGTTGATGAGCCTCCAGCCCCTTCTAGGAGGCGGCTGCCCTGCTAACGTCAACGTATCGTATTGTAATTGCAAGGGAATTAGGCACTTCGTGCGACCATCGCAGATCTTTGGCCTAGGACCACAGTTTTTTGGCCGTTACTGCTGGACTTTTGCCTTGCAGAACCAAAGAGAATGAACTCACCAAGAGCAAGCCACCAGCTGTATCTCAGACATTTAAGGGGGCCAGTCCCACAGGTTGCTGAACACTTCTAGGAGATCATAACCCAAGTGCTGCTGATGAGCTTGGGTTACACGGAAAAATCCCACACCATCGCCAACAGATTTTACAGCAGCTTCTCTAAAAGCCATTACAATATCTGTTGTCAGCCCACAGCAATAAGGTTTACTACACGACATATTTCAAAAATATCAGGTATATAAAAAATTATAAATACACAAGCACAACTCGGTATAAAGCCTGGAAGAAGACTGCAACCGTCTATCAAGCTTTTCCATAAGGTAAAAATCACAATGCTCTGCACACACTGAGCAATCCAGGAGTACATCCAGTTGTTGATACCTGTTAGGTATAGTTAGGGAATGATCAATCCCATGCAGCATTGAGGGCGGATACTGTCTGTTACACTTGTAAAGCCAAATATTTTTCTGATAAGAAGAGGGTACAAACACAGGAATCAAAGGAGCCACCCAAAGCTACCGAGGTTAAGAAGGTGCACCATGACAAACAGAACAATTTTCACCAGCTACAGATCAGCTACTGGGAATCCAAACCGGAGCCTGTCTTTCCTCCTTCTACCACTCCCCCACTCTCATTATTATAAGTAAATGCTGTAATGTGTATTGTCCACAATTGTCTTTACCTTTAATAAAATTAAGTAATGACATTAAATTACATCTGCTAAAGGAAGGATGGCAGCTCAAAGCTACCCACACTTCTTTAATGTCATTCCCTCCCTACTGTGGAGTAATTTAGGATAATGAACAATGCCATCTTTCACTGTGCTGCTTTGCAGCATTCCCTGCGCTCTAAGTTTTCTTTCATAAGATTACAATTGATTTTCAAATAAAGAGAAGCATATCTATTCAAACAAGGTAAAACAATGGGCAACAGAGGAGCTGCTGGAATAAACAGAAGATTGATAAAGTAGTGCTTGACCTCTGCTTGTAGCATTTACCCATATTCCCCTGTAATTCATTTAGCTTCACTTTCAATGGTTGCATTTGAAATCCTTAATTTCCAGACTGTTTTTTTTAAAGACCATTCACAAGGATTTCTATGGCTGATTGTTACACACTCCGCTTTCCTTCTGAGATAAGGATTTGTTCTGAACTTGGCACGTTCTTAAAACCTTAAATTCTGTAGGGTCTTTTTCTTCCCCTCCCATAAAACCCGTGGTGGAAAAAGTCCTTCTCTCACTCCTGTGGAACTGGCCTATCTGGAGTCACATCTTGTTGAAAACGTAATAACTAGTTCTGACTTTCAGGTTGCAACAGATTACACTACAATTGGTTAGTCCCAGAGTTTGCCTTTTGTCTCACTCAGTACCTGACAGCGTATAAACACGCAGACAAGTATCACTTCCGAGGAGAAAGGGATTAATGTGGGGGGACAAACGATGAATTCACACAATGACTTGACCTTGTGCAATAAATCTGGAGTCTGGGCGGTGAAGCCACACACAGCAGAGTAAAACCAATTAGCTCACTGCAGCCACTCCTAGGGAGGTGTGGAATTGAGACAGATGAACACAAAGATAATTATTCAGACTTCCTTCTAAAGGGAATTCCTTTTTTCCAATATTCTTACTTTTTTCTAGCTGTTTTTGCTAAGAAGCTGTGAAAGCGATCGCTCGCTCACATGAATGTCTGCAGGAAGGATTTCTGTGTTGTCTCCAGGATTTGCTAATGATGATGCAATATTTGTTACAGGCAGAAGTAGTTTATGAGGGCTGAATTGCCTAGAGAAAGAGAGTGTTTCATGACCTATAGCTATGGATTAACTTGGAAGAATAAGGGCATTTTAGTCCTCTTATTAGACTCTGAGCCCTTCCCCTAAGAGCTACGAGTGCTGCAATGCATCTTCTCTCTAGGTCCCCTCGGTCGAGAGGAACCGAAACAAGAGCAAGCGAGCGCATATGGCACGCGGTGTCCCGTCTCCCACCGCTACCTGCTGCCGGGCTGCCCCGGATACGACACGGCGTGAAGCCGGGGAACGTGCAGCCCACGCAAACTGTGTGAGCAGGCACCCAGGTTGAATACCAAACCCCAGCTCCCCCACACTTAAGGGCGTACTCCCACCTGAGCGCTGGCATGCCAGCCAACTGTTTACCTTTTCCGCACGATATTTAACAAAGAGGCTCGAATAGCCGGCAAATTAATAAACAACTGCGGTCTGGTTGCAGCAATCTGTGCAAAATGGAAAAAAAAAAAAAGATGAAAATCTCCTAATAAATCATTAATTGTGATGTGCCTGCCCAGCTGCAGCACGGAAACAAGCAAATGCCATCCTAATTGATTGCTTCTTATTCCATCTTTATAGCCCTGCATTTTTTATTGTGAGGGTTGAATAAGCCCAGAGGTGTAAAAAACCTCTAGATTGTACTCTGTGTATCTGCCAAGTTGATATTTAGATCAATAATCCCCTTTCTCTTTTCCCCCTACTACTGGTAATTTAGCTTTTCTTCCTAGCAGCCTAATTGCTGTTTTCTTAAGCCTTACTATCAATGCTCTGACCTTTAATTTCCAATATCGTTTGCTCTACGGACGGCTGTACTAGGTCTGCACGTTATCCTACCCCCTCTGCACCGTAGGGGTCAGTCTTGGGTATCAGCTTTTGTGACAGTCGGTGACCTCCAAGTTCTCGTTCTGCTGTTACGCAGCAGAGACCACAGGCTTGCTTGAATCACCACAAAACCTCCATAAAGTCAACCATATTTTGCATTCTCAATCTCATTTTGAATCTCAACCGGATTTTGAGACTCATTTTTTTTAATCATGTTTTCTTAAAGAATTACTCACTCTGATGCGGTCTCAAAGGATGATCACCCACATCAGTACAGGTGTCATCACTTTTTTCTGAGGCAGCCCACAGCCCCCCTGCTCTGCCTTACACCAGCCAGGGACCCCTGCTCTGCCTTACACCAGCCAGGCACCCCACATAAGCCTCTTT